ACCACCACCATCATCATCACCCTCACCATAATCACCACCACAACCACCACCATCACCACCACCATCATCAATACCACCACCACCACCACCATCATCACCACAACCACCACCACCATCACCACCACCACCATCATCATCATCCTCACCGCCACCATCACCATCACAACACCCATCACCATCTTCACCACCATCAACGCCATCATCACCCTCACCACCATCATCACCACAACACCCTCCACCACCATCATCATCACCACCACTACCATCACTGCCTCCATCATCATCATCAATGCTACCTTCACCACACCACCACCACCACCATCATCACCACCACATATCACCATCACCATCATCATCCCCACCACAACCACAATCACTACACCCCCCACCACTACCATCACCACCATCATCACAACAACCACCACCATCATCACCACCATCTTCATCCTCACCACGACCACCACCACCACCACCATCCTCACTACCATCATAACACCCACCACCACCATCACCACCACCATTATCACCATAATTTTCATCATCCTCACCACCACCACCCTGACAAAAACCACCACCACCACCATCACCACCACCAGAATCAACCCCATCATCATCATCATCCTCACCACCACCACCATCACTACCACCATCCTCACCACCATTACCACCACTACCATCACAACACCCACCACCACCATCATTACCACCACCACCATCTTCATCCTCACCACCACCACCACCACCACCACCACCACCATCCTCACCACCACCACCACCATCACCACCACATATCACCATCTCCATCATCATCCCCACCACTACCACCATCACTACAACCCCCACCACCACCATCACCACCACCATCACCAATACCACCACCACCACCATCATCATTATCCTCACCACCACCACCATTACAACACCCACCACCACCTTCACCACCACCATCATCACCACCATCTTCATCATCCTCACCACAACCACCATCACACCACCATAACCACCCCCACCATCATCATCATCCTCACCACCACCCCCATCTTAACACCCACCACCACCATCATCCTCACCACCACCACCACCATCACCACCATCTCTCTGCCCCTCCCCCTCCCCCACACTCCACTAGTTCTGGGCGCTGTACCGTGGCAGCAGCAACGCTGAGGGTCGCGTGTACTCCAACCACGTAGTGACCATCACGGGCCGGGTCAAGCCCTCCCTGGCGCCTTCCTCCTCCCGGTTCAGTGAGAGCACAGCGGTGACCACAAGACAGGTGGCTGTCCAGTGTAACCCGGACGACTTTCTCCTTATCGCTCAGGTTGGTCAATCGCGACTGACGTGTGTGTTGTTAGGGGCGTTTGTTCTCGTTTGTCTGTTTGTTTGCTTTTATTTATTTTATTTTTAATTAATTTATTTATTTTTTAATATTCATTTATTTTTATTTTTATT